AGGTGTTTTCCTGTGTAGTTCTTGTTTCTATGTGTACATCTGTCACTTATTTGTTTTTAGCTCATTGTTACACATGGCGTAAAGAAAGGCAGACCTTTCAAAACCTGAGCCTTAGTCTTTTTAAATTAACGTAACCTGCGTTTTTTCTAGCCAGTATTTTTATAGAAGTTAGTACTAGATGCAGTGGACTAATGTCTGTCCTTGGGGCCACAGTGTGTAGTTGGTCTTCCTCCTGTTCTTTCTGCCACCATGTTGGTGAGATAGTTTGACATAAACGTCTTACACATTTCTAGTTTATGTTTTCTGCCAAATAAAGTGGCAGAGCAGGAAAGGGTTGTGGCTCCTGGGGCTTGCACTTTGAAAATCGAATGGAAACGGAACCCCTCCACGCAGAACTGTCAGGAGTGGCTTTAGGAGGTTCTCAGCCGCCACGAGCTCTGCAGGCTCCACGGCCTCCATGGGTGTCGGTGCTGGAAAATGTGCTTGTGGTCTTGGCTCATCTGCCAAGAAGCTCTGTGGTCTTGGGCAACTCATGTACCTGTTCTTAGTCTCGGTTTCCGGTTTCCTTATTTAATGAAAAAAGAAGAGCGTGTGTTTCCCTTCCCAGAGAGCTGTAGGTAAGACTCGGGGCGATTAATAAATGTCATGATGTCTGGAAACGTTGAGAAGCAATGTAGAAAAGTAAATTGATATTCTGATAGATGCATTGGGTTTTGTTGATTTAACCTTTGAGAGCAATGATTAACCCTTTTTAATAGTGTTAGAATCATCATCATGACCATCGCTAACACTCAGTGTTTTCAATGTGCCTATCATCCTGCTGGACGCTGTAAGTGGATTTCTCTAGGGTAACCATGTAATTTATCCAAGCTGGAAATGGGGTGCTACCTAGACGGTATGCAGGATAATGGTTTAAACAGGGATGTGGGTCACCCCAGTGGTCTCCCTGATTCTTTCTAACAATTAACAATCTCAGGGCATTATTGTCCCCTAGGTAGGCCTTCAGGGTTAAGCAACTTCCTCAGGTTCTCATGTGTAATAAGTAGCAGATTTGGCTTTCACACCTAAGCTCCTACCTACTATATTATGGTAATTGAAGAAAGTGATGTGTGGAAGAACAGCAAGTTCCTCCCTATTAATGTTCAATAACTGCATTTACACCAGAAGGCGTCTGTCTTTACACATCTCATCTGTTCTCTCACCAGGCAGCACCAACCATCCTAACCCACCGTTCTGACTTTCCACAGGGCGCCATGACTCCTGGAATCCCTATCTTTAGTCCGATGATGCCGTATGGCACAGGGCTGACTCCACAGCCCATTCAGAACACCAACAGTCTGTCCATTCTGGAGGAGCAGCAACGGCAGCAGCAGCAGCAGCAGCAGCAGCAGCAGCAGCAGGCAGCAGTGACGACAGTGACAGCCGCAGTGCAGCAGTCAACGTCCCAGCAGGCTCCTCAGGGGGCCTCAGGACAGACACCACAGCTCTTCCACTCACAGACTCTGACCACTGCACCCTTGCCGGGCACCACACCCCTCTACCCCTCGCCCATGACCCCCATGACCCCCATCACGCCTGCCACGCCAGCCTCTGAGAGCTCGGGGATTGTGCCACAGCTGCAGTGAGTACTTGTGTCCTCTTGCTGCCTGGGAGGATCCCCTGGAGCCTGCCACTGCTCTTTGTTTTCAGAGGCACCCATGGATCTCACAGGGACTGGATCACATTTTCTGCCTCACTTGAGTCCTAGTGAGCCGCCCTCAGTGAGAAGCTCTCCCAGCTTTAGAAGTTGGCAGCTTGTGCCTGTGCTCTTGGACCAGCAGAATTCCATGTGTGTGTGTGTGTTTTTTTTTTTTTAGTATGTTTTATTGATTTTTTACAGAGAGGAAGGGAGAGAGATAGAGAGCTAGAAACATCGATCAGCTGCCTCCTGCACATCTCCTACTGGGGATGTGCCTGCAACCCAGGTACATGCCCTGGACCGGAATCGAACCTGGGACCTTTCAGTCCGCAGGCCGACGCTCTATCCACTGAGCCAAACCGGTTTCGGCTCCATGTGTGTTTTCTTGTTGTAGACATTTCCCTGTAGCTGGTTTGCTCAGTCAGGCCAGATAGCTACTTCCCTTGGCATGCTGTCTGTCTTTGGTACAGTTAGTTACTTAGTCATAGAATTACTGTGGTTCATAGTGGTCCTTGTTTTTTTATTGGTTATTACGAGGGCTGCATATACATCTTTGAAGAGCTGTGGATGGCTGTTTTTGCCCTAAATGGACTTTTCTACCTAAAGGCAGTGGGTTCTATATGTAACAGGATTCGGGGTGGGGTGGTGGTGGGGGTGGGGGGAATATAATATATTCCTACAATGGGGAGGAGGAAGTATCTAACTGGTACAGAGATGGGTGGACGGCGGCCGCACAACACTGAATGCATTGGACACCACTGAGCGGGGCACTAAAACTGGTGGAGGTGCTAAATTTTATGTTATGTGCTTTTCAAGACAATTTCAGAATAAGAAAAAAGAATACGTTGAAGCCCCTAGCCGGTGTTCCTCAGTGGTTAGAGCATTGTCCTATGCACCCTAGCGTCGCAGTTTCTATTCCTGGTCAGGGCACAGACCCAGGTCGCAGGTTCGATCCCTGCTTGAGGTGCATGAGTGAGGCAACCATCTCCCTCTCCCTCTTCCTTCTCCTCTCTCTAGAATCAATGAAGCAAATCTCAGATGAGGATTAAAAAAAGAGAATACATTTAACTGTTATATGACTAAGTGTGTGATAGATGCACCAAAATGTACTTGACTGAGTTCATACATGGACAAGTGTTGCAGGCAGGCGTGTATAGAAGTTGATTGGAAAGAAATGGGTGATGTGGAGATGAACACATTGCTAGGTGCCTTATAGCTGTGCACTGGCACCCACGGGAGGTGCGTCTGCAGGCTGGGTGCACTGTGCACAGGACAGTGATGCCGGTCCATGCACAATAGTTTTATTCAGGGGGCACGGCGCATAGCAAGTCTACACTTTCAAGACCAGGAAACTATAGAGTAAAAATGTAGGTTGGCTCTGTTTAAATTCTTATTAAAATTTGTAATAAAGTTGTTTTTCGCTGTAGTATATTTTTTCTTTTGTAAGTTATTCATAAAATGATACAAGAATACTAAAAATGGGGGTCTTGGGCATAGATAATACATGGTTGTCTGTTTTTCTTGATTTACTGAGAGTTAAGCAGAATAAAACAGGTTTTTTTCGTTTGTTCTGAGTTATTGTTCTTCCGAAGAATACTATTTTGAGAGGACTGAGAAAGTCATGCCTGCCCATTTTCTTTGTAAGGAGCGGTCTTGGGGTTAGCAGTGGTGGTGTTTCAGAGCTCAGAGATGAGGTGCGTCAGTACCAGTGAAAGGGTAGGGCTCTGGATAGATGGTTCCCAACTCTGCTCTGAGGAGCCACTTGTCTCCTGGGCAGGTTACCCCGTTTAAGCCTCAGTATATGTGAAATGCTCACCATGGTATGTGTTACTTTTTAAACACCTAAAAATGTCAATAACTTATTAAATTGAAATTAAGTTTAAATTTAATGAAATCAAATTAGTTTGAATGAAACAATCAGGTTTCTAGATAATCATCTAACACCTCATCCTGTAAAATTTAAATGAATAAATCATGTTTTCTTTTCAATTTTTTTGCAGAAATATTGTATCCACAGTGAATCTTGGTTGTAAACTTGACCTGAAGACCATTGCACTTCGTGCCCGAAATGCTGAATATAATCCCAAGGTCAGAGCAATTTTAATATATTTCAAAGTATAGCACAGGAATTTACTTCTCAAGATCCCTGGATCAAAACGTTGTGCCACGGTAATAAAGGAATGCTGCTTCTGAAAGCCAACTGGGAATAGGAGGTCACTTCCACAGGCGTTGCTGTGCTTGTGTTCTGCCTTATTAATTCCTCTGGAGGTGAAGGTTTTTCCAGCAAAGTTTATAGTTACAGAAGCTAGTCATGGGAAGCAGCAAATGTAAGGTAGCAGTAGAGGCTCTCGTGTAAGTAAAGAAAAAAAAATTGAGCCCTGGCCTATGTGGCTCAATTGGTTAGGCTTGTCCCAGGCATTGGAAGGTTCCTGGCTCGATTCTCGGTCAGGCCCCATGCCCCGATTGTAGGTTTGGTCGTATGGGAGGCAGACCAATGTTTCTCTGTCACAACAATGTTTCTCTCCCTCTCCCCCCTCCTTCCCTCTCCCTTCCTCTCTCCATAATAAATAAATAAATTGCAAGTACTCCCTATCTTATAGGAATGTACGAAAGAATTTACAGGTCGTGGTTCAAGTCAGTCCTCACAGTTCTGCTTCCTGTGCGAAAGCTTGTGCCCTGCTTGGTGATGGGAGGTCCTGCCTGGGGGCGTGTGCGGATGCTATGGTGGCTGTGCACAAGGACTTCTTAGCTGTTATTGTCTAGTTTTCCTCACGTTAATGACTTCACCATTCCAGCGGTTTGCTGCGGTCATCATGAGAATAAGGGAGCCCCGGACCACAGCCCTGATCTTCAGTTCTGGGAAAATGGTGTGCACGGGCGCCAAGAGGTAGGTGCAGAGAGGCTGTCTGTCTGTGTTTTGTGTGGTCTTGGTGGTAGGCTGATGCTTTAATCAAATGCTGTTGTTGCTTTCTTACTGCAGTGGTTGGCTCTAATCATTCTAGTCGGCAGTAATTTCATTTTTTTAAAGTTAGGCCTGGCCCTGGCTGGTTGGCTTAGCCGGTTGGAGTGTCATCTCGTACACGGAAAGGTGGCAGGTTCTGTTCCTGGTCAGAGCACATACCTGGACTGCGAGTTCGATCTCCGGTTGGGGCGTGTACAGGAGGCAACTCATCAGTGTTTCTCTCTCACATTGATGTTTCACTCTCCCTTTCCCTTCCTACCTCTCTAAAAATCAACTTTTAAAAATCCATAAAAAAATAAAACTTAGGCATCAATTCAGTTGCATTTTATGTGTTTTTGGTAAAATATTACATCACAACTATTAAGGATTCCTTTATGTAAAGAATTTTATATATAACACAAATTCATGCCCAAAGGGGAAAAATCTGCCTAGGGATGAGGAGAGAGCCGCAGACCCCCTTGGCTCTGGCAGTGACGTGGTGACAGGTGCCACTGCCCTCGCGGGGAATGGTGTTGGTTCTGACAGTCTGAGTCGTGAGCCGTTGTGTCAAATGCTGTTGCCCGTGCTCTGCCTCAGTGCGCAGTGAGCCTCCCTGTGAAGGCCTTGACTAGTCTGAGCCTAACAGCCCACAGACTTGGTAGGAGACACAGGAGGGGGATTAAAGAGAAGAGAAGTAAAGTGAAGTTAAATAAACTCCGAAAATCAAAGGCGATTGATGCACTTACAGGTGTTAATGTAGAGAGGGGCTGTGGAGTTTTGCTAATTCTGAACTTGAAAGTCGTCTTTTAAGGAAGCCATGGGTGTGGACATTCTGGCTCTGGTCTCAAAGTGTTTTCGAAGGCGAGACGTGGGTCTGCCCTGGCTCCACGTCCCTCTTCATTTTGGCGTCTTTACCAGCTTGTTTTACTTGGGACGCGGCTGGGGAACGTGGGGTTTCCCAGTGGATGCTCCATGTGTTGCTTTCACCGCAGGCCCGCTGTCTTGTACCTCACAAGAAACAGTGGGTATCTGTGTGGGTGACTTTTCTCAAGATAAGAAGTCATAAATACATTTATTATTATTAAAGAAAAAAAGGCACTGCGAGTATGGTTAATTTTTGTCATTCCTGACCCTGTACCCGAGAGTCTTGTTTAGGATGGTATCATTGCTCTCATTCTCCATGTTCTACATAAGCTCTGCGTTCGGAGTCAGTTTTATCCAACTGGTGAGTTATAGAAATGGACATAAAATAGGGGAGAACTAGTGTGTGCATTCTTTAAGTACAAACCTCACCAGTATTTTCCTATCAAAATGAAGCTTGTTCATTTTCTCTCAGTAGGAATTTGTGAGCTAAAACACAAAAGCAGTGGTCATGATGGTGACTGTATGCGCACATCTGTAAACCCTGGGGGCTGGCAGTAATGGGGTGCATTGGAAAGGGTGATCATTTTGGTAGGCCTAGTTTCCTAAATTTATTTGTGTCTGCATTTCTCTTATTGGGAAGGGGTGACCAGTTCACACTTTGTAAAGTGACTCATTTAAATAGCTATTTTAGCTGGCTCTGAGTATGACTAGCTCACGTTTTCCTTTCCCTAGTGAAGAGCAGTCCCGACTAGCAGCAAGAAAGTACGCCAGAGTTGTGCAGAAGTTGGGTTTCCCAGCCAAGTTTTTGGACTTTAAGATTCAGAACATGGTGGGGAGCTGCGATGTGAAATTCCCCATAAGGTTAGAAGGCCTGGTGCTGACCCACCAACAGTTCAGTAGGTAAGTCTGAAGGGGGTTGGGATTGCTTTTGACAGCAATCTGTTTACAAGTTCATGATAAATTGTCTGTAGCTCCCACTGTGTTTACTGTGGATGTTTCTCCTGATGGCTGGAGTGACATCTCTGGGTCTCGCTGGCCTTCTCACTGCATGTGGTAATGTGAAAACCCCCTTTAGTGGGTGAAATTTTTTTTCTCCAATTTATACCTTTTTTATTGTTATACCGGGTGAAATTGATTCCCCTTCTGTATGTTCCATCACCATATTGCTCAGTGACTACATTTCAAATGTGTGAATTAGCCCTTTGTACGCCATAAGCATCTGTAGACGTATAGATGGTTTCTGCTTTGGGCGCGTGGCAGTTAACTGGTTAAACCCACCACCTTGTGCATCAATCTTCCCCCTTCGGTCTACTCACCATTATCAGATCCACCAGCGAAGGGCACGGTTGAGGGACATGAATAGTCTTTCTGCTTCCCCTTGCTGAGAACTACCAGGTAGATGGTCCCTCCCCAGCCTCCCTGCTTGCAGCACCCCTCAGGCTTACTGTGCCCTTTGGGGTACCAGGGCCTTTGCACATCCCACTTTCATACTTGGCATAGTCTCACTTTTGCTTTGAGCACTCCCACTCACATTTCTTACCCGAGCACCTCTTCCTCAGAGAAACCTTCCTGAATTTTCTGCTCAGTGACGCACACATCCTGTTTTCAGTCTCTGAACTAATGCCATGAGATTTCTAGGTTTAGAATAAGACACGTGAGTAGAGCATCCAAACGGTGGAGTCCGGGAGAGGTTCATTCTCTACCCAGTATCTGCTCCAGCACTTTGGTTAAATTGCCTGACCAAGGTGAACAGCTAGAGAATATTTCAGTGTAAGGAAATGAGATGAGAATGATTAAAAGGCAAAACGTTGCTGTCAGATCTGAGAAGCAATGTTACCCCTAAACTTGTCCAGAATAACACTGGGTAAGGGTCAGAGAGACTTTAGGACATTTATGTAAAGCTCTTGTTACGCCAGAAAGTCCACACTCAGAAGGGAGTGATTTAGTCCTCAAGTGCAGATGACCGGTTGCCCTCCCTGGCCTTCTGCCTCCTCTCCTTTGATGCTCCTTGAGGAGCTGGGCTTGGCCTCCTTACAGCTGTTTTTTTCGTGGTTTTGCTTATAAAGGTTTTCATTTTATCTAAAAGCATGGGCAACTTTTAACTTATAAATTATTCTTTATGTTTTCCTTATAGTTATGAGCCAGAGTTATTTCCTGGTTTAATCTACAGAATGATCAAACCCAGAATTGTTCTTCTTATTTTTGTTTCTGGAAAAGTTGTATTAACAGGTAAGTTGTAACAAGAAGTGGTGTCTGAAGATTTGAAAGTTTAAAAAATGTCATTTTCTCCATGTGAGAAGTAATTTGGTAGCTACTTGGAGAGGCCTTTTCTTTCCTCCCACCTGAACGTGCTGGCAGGAAACATACCAGAGGAGGGA